CCGACCTTCGATCTGGTGGACATGTCTCGGACATGACATGTTTCACAGTCTAGGATGTTTCTTGGAACATCTATGCATGCTTCATTCATTGACCAGTGACCAGACTACTACCATCACCCGGAGACCCAATGTGAAAACAATTGGCCTGAGGGGACCTCATTTTTCTTTTCGCAGACCGGCCACGGCCGGTCACGGTCTGTCGGAGCGGACGGCTAGGTGCACATCGATGTGACTGCCCTCTTCCTGAGCCTGGGTCTTTGGGGCGTGAGCCACCTCCTTGTAGGCGCGGGCGCCGCGCGGTCGCGCGACGACGCATGTGGGCGCTTCCAAAGGGGGGAGAAGGGGGCCCGGTTGAAAGGTGAGCAGGTGGGTCCTTCAGGACTGTAGGCCACTCAAACGACACTGTCTAGCTCTGTGGACCCACCCGAAAATCTGCCCTTTCCACGCCGTCCGCGCCTCGGTCCCAGGACGGAAAGACGCTTTCTCCGATTGGTTCGCGACCTGGTCGAGCTCTCCCGAGTGGTTCGGACGATGGACCGGCGAGCGAGAAGGGGGGAGGAGTTGCTCCTAGTAGCTTCTTGCTCCTAATAGCGTCCTTGTTACTACTAGTAAGGCACTTGTTACTAGTAGCAATGCACTTGCTCCTGGTTGGAGAACGTCTTTGGCGGAAAAAGGGGGTGTTCATTGACCACCCCCATTCTGGGTCCGACTAGTGAAATTCTTGGATCAAGAGGGTGTTGAAATGATGAATGATGCAGAGAAAAACCGTAACAGCCTGCCCGGCAGGACAGTGACGTTTGGTCATACAATTTGCGAGAAAAGGCCCACTTGGCAAAGCTTTGAATCTGATCACCCTCCCAAACCCCCAAACTATGGGAGAGAGACACATAGCTTTGCATCACCACGAAACATAGCTTCGCATGCTTCGCTTCTCCGTGGCCGCGACGGGCCACTGCGAGCACCCGGACGGCGGCCGCGATGGCAGGACTTGGTGGCAAGTCCTTGCAGTGGCCATCGATGTCATCCAAGGTGCGAGACGGTCCCGGCGAAAACGCCTCGGGTGGTTTCTTCCCTTTGGTTCGTGTGCTTGGACCTTCTGTGGAGGGACAGACACTGTCTGAGCGAGGTGAGACGCAGCGGAGAAGGGAGTTCCGAGGATCCAAGCGTGACCGCGTTGCCGCCCTCTTTCGCACAGGATGTGTTTTGTGCCGACACGCTCAACTCTCTCTCCGCTGTCATGCGCTGTCGACCTTGTCATGGCGTAATGCTGTGAGGCCGTTTGTCGTCGTGCTCAAAAGTGGCCACCATACCTCGTTCTCTCGTGGGCTAGTAGGTCGACGTTTTCACACGTCGTTTGAACACGTCGACTTGCACGATGTGCTACTCACTCCGATGTGCTCCTCGTCACGTCCATCGGCCGTGGGCATGCGGTGAAGTGCTGCACCGCCCCGCGCCGCCGGAGATCGGAAGAGGCACTTGTTACTACTAGTAGGATTTTGTTTGCTAGTAATTAGAATTCTAATTAAAATCTTTTTGTTTCTACTAGTAAAGGCACTTGTTACTACTAGCGCCGCCGGAGATCGGAAGAAAGACCCACCGGGCCGCTGTCGCTTAGTAGGGAGAGACCGGAGGACGTGAGCCGCTCCAGGTTGGTCGGCCGGCCTGGTGACCAAAGAGTACGGAAGCCCAGAGCTTCGACGGTCGGAGGGCTTGAGTCTGATTCCTGTAGGGTCCGGTTCCTGGCCCACCGTTCATGGAATGGTCTGAATCCCAAAGAAGCATTGTTTTACTAAGGATTCTACACCACAAAACGAGGTCCTTCCCATGTTTTGGTTTCGGGGGGGGTCCGGGTTTCTGCGGGTCTTTTCTTGAAACGCACCGGGAAACGGCGAACGCACATGGGTCGAACGGACCTGGGGTATCTCTTGGGCCCATTTTTCCCCAAACAGTGTGGACACACGAACTGGGTTCTTACTCACTAGGGGTTCACCGGTGTCTTGGACCAATCTCTCCTTTTCACCCAGCTGTCAGGTGAGGGTTGTTAGATTTTATGTCAGCCCCATCTCCTCCTCCGCCTCCTCGTCCTCCTTCTCCCTCTCCTCCTCCTCGCCTCCTCCGCCGGACCTCAACCACGACCATCCACGCCCAGTGCTCCCTGCCGGACCTCAACCACAAACACAACCACAAACACAACCACCACCACAACCGCAACCACAAACACAACCACAAACACACATTTACAAACACACAACCACAAACAAACAACCACAGACACAACCGCAGACACAACCACAAACACGCAACCACAAACACACAACCACAAACACACACACAACCACAGACGCAACGACAAACACATCACGAACACACAACCACGAACACACAACCACAAACACACAACCACAAACACACAACCACAAAAACACGCAACCACAAACACGCAACCAAAAACACAACCACAAACACACAATCACAAAGACACAACCACAACCACAACCACAAACACACACAATCACAAAGACACAACCACAACCACAACCACAACTACAAAAACACAATCACAAAGACACAAACCACAACTACAAACACACAATCACAACCACTACCAGTACCACAAACACAATCACAAACACACGGCCACAAGCACAACCACAAACACAACCACAAACACACAGCCACAAGCACAACCGCAAACACATCCACAAACACACAATCACAAACACATAATCACAAACACAACCACAACCACAACACAGCACACAACCACAACCACAACACACAACCCGAGGACCCACAAGCAAAGTCTAGAACTACAATACTCACGACCATGGCAGCATTCTCCTCACTATGGCATCAAGACAAATAATTGAAATGTCATGGTGGGGATCACTCGAAGTAGAGTAATTTGTTTATCTCCTGAGTCTTGAAATCATGTTCTTTGATGTTCTTTGGGCCTCGCTGTGGTCGAACGTAGCGATGCCCCAGCATGTTCCTAGCGACGCGTCCTTGCCCTCCGTGGGGGTGCCGCGTGGCGCCGAGAACGCCGCGTTCCGGGTGGCGGTGCGTGCGGTCGCTGTGGTGCGCGTCGCCGTAGGCACTCCACCACCTTCAAGTCGATTTTACAGACGCTCTGCTACATCTTCACCATGCTGGTGGAGGATGTTTTGCTCCGATTCTGCGGGTATTCCACGTCGTGGCCTGGGGGGGACATGGCCTTTCTTTGGACCAATGGGGGTGGTTCTTTTCGACCCAAAAAGGATCCAAGCGAAGCCTCCAAGGATAAGGGGTTGAAGTTTGCTGTCACTGGGGTGTGGGGCCCCGAACCAAACCCTTGTTTTTTGAGGGTCCGGATCCTTAGGGTTGGAAATTGAACTGAGTTCTTTTTAAATTGTACAATCTATACAGTAGAGGCCCTAACCGAACTGAGGAGTTTTGCCGACACCGAAAGTGAATGGCATGGTCTTCTCTCCAAAGACCCAACATGGGGAGGAGGTTTCCCAAAAAAACAATGGGCATGTGTTTGTTCTCTGTGTAACACAACGTGTTGGTCTGGTGCTACCAGTAGGGCAGGGGATGAGATTTCGGCACAAACGACCAGCCTTCCCAGACTATTCTGGAAGCTACTAGTAATAAGTGCATCGCTAGTAGTAACAAGTGCATTGCTACTGGGAACAATTGCATCGCTACCAGTAGCTAGAAACTACTGGTAGCAATGCCCTTGTTGCTAGTAGCTTGCTTCGTAGTGTAAAAGTCCTTAGTAAAACAATGGTTCTTTAGGATTCAGACCCATTATATAAATCAATGGTGGGCCGGAAAGCCTTGTTGGGGTGAATGAAATCAAACACCGCGGCAGCCCGCTCTGTGATCTCGGAGTTGGCAACATCCCCCTGTGGGCTTCCTGGCCCACCATCACCATGAATTCAAACACGGCAGGTCATCCTGAATCAACTAAGGATTTTGGCATATTTTTTGCACTACAGTCCTGCATCTTACATTTTGATTACATTTTGCCATTGCCATGGGTCCTTCCCATGTTTTTTTTTGGGTTAAGATACTGAACAGGAACCCCGAGGTCCTTGCGTCCGTCGAACCGAACCCTTCCCGGAAACGACCTCCACGTCCCCCGTCTCCTCGGGCGTCCGCTAGGACCCTTGCCTCGGCAACAGGCGTGGCCGAAGGAGTTCGGCCGAGTTCGGCGGTCCTGAAGCGAAGTGTTCACGCACACCAGTGTCCATGGATATCCATTTGTTTCTTTGTTTCTATCCATTTGGTCTATCCTGATCTTGAAATTCTGGATAGCTCACTTCCATCCAATGCCACTTCCGCCGCCTTCGGTGCGGAGCGGGTCTTCGGTCTTCGGCTGAAGAGCCGATCCGAATCACAGGTCCTCATCCCCCAGACACCGCTCCAAATCTCTATACCAAGACACCCGGCCTATGGGGCGTTCTTGATAGCCCCTTAGATGTGATTCGGGGTGTCCATGAACCACCCCGACAGTGGGTGGTTTGGGCGAGCTGGTCGCGCAGAACCTCCAAGCGTCCGCGACCGGACTCGCGGGCTCGCGTCCGCACGCGACAACGGCCTCACCGTGAGAGGTGGGGTTTTGAGCGCAGAGAGCTTCCATCGATCATGCTGGGGTGGCTCAGTGGGGCACATACCGCCATGCTGGGGTGGCGGTTGGGCCAGCTAGACTACCAGACATGGTCAACCTACCGGATCTGTGGGCTGGGTGCCATGACCCGCAGCCGAAGTCCGCCGGAGGGGCGACGTCAAGATCGTCGACTCGTCGGTCATCGACACGAAACGTCGGGAGACCACTTGTCCAAGAGCCGACCCAAGGGGGTGTGAACTGAAAGATCCCTGAAAGGGTTAGCTCTGTACACTAGAGGATCAAACGCCAGGTGGGTCCTGGTTGCGTGTGAACCGACCTTTTTGCTGGCACAAAATACATGGTGACGTGGACGTAGTGGCCCCGATTTCGGAAGACCCTCTTCCTTTCAGAGCCAAACAGTGGGCTTTTTTGACACATCCATGGATGCGTCCACCAGAAGGTTGGCTCCGTCCATGGATGCGTTCGGTCATGGGGAACGACATCTGGTCCAGACAAACGTCTGGTTCCAGGTTCGTCGATCTGACGGCCCACCTCGCTGGTTACGGATGGCCGCTTTGGTTCTTTGGCCGGGTATCGTAGATGGACGAAGATCGGTCCGTCTGACAAAGGGATGCAGGACTTACCTAGAACCTGTTTGTGACCTCTATGTTGGACCACCAAGCACCCAAAAGATGGTGCAACTTCCTATCAAAAACAGCAGGTCATGTCCGGGTTCTAGGTCTCCCCTGCCTTTTGGTTGGCAAGCCTCCGCCTCACCTCCTCAGGCTGGCTGCCATCCTCGTCTTGTCGGCGATTGTTTTCCAACTGGGTCGCCACAACGTGAAGGTGGCCACCACCGACGCCCGTCGACCGACGGGTGGACAGTCCGCGGATAGGTGTGGATGGTGACCGCCGCACGGCGCGTGCGTGGGACCGCCCATGAAAAACCGTGCAGAGATGATTTGTTCTGGCTGCTGTGTTCGACAGATGGGATGGTCGTTCAGCCATAAACCCACTTGTTGCTATGAGTTGTGATGGAGGGGGAACCGGTCGTTTTGACGCGTGCGGTTTGTGGAAGTGGGTGGAAGTCGGTGTGGTGGGTGGATCTGGTTGGATGTGGACCGAGATCGGCCACTCAGCTGGTGGATGTGACGGAACTGGCAGGTCGAGAGTCCGACGGCCGCGTAGTGATGGTGACACCGTTTCGAGCGCCAAACCGAAAGCTGCAAGGGCCCAAAACTCGGCCGGAAAAGAGGACCAATCCTCCTGAAGCCTCTCCCCATCTCCTTCTAGAAGATTGCTTCAGGTTTTAGAGCGCGCGGCGACCTTGAACACCATGGTGGGGGCACCCGGTCGCGGGGTTTGCATCGATCTGTGAAGCCTGGCGAAGCCTGGCGAGGGGGTGGGCAGTGAAGGGGGGTGACCCGGCACAGTCACTCACGTGGTCATCAAAGTCACAGCCACTGGGCACGGAAGGAAGCTGGCTTTTGAGGTTCTGGCTTTCACTCCAATGTGCTGCAATCCTCCAAAAGAAACATCGAAACCAAAGGCATCGAAGCCAACACGCTCATTGGCTTCGCGAAAGAAGGAAAAGCATGGAAAAGAGGAAACGTCTCGAGAGACATTCGAACACTGTGGATGTCTCAAGGAACCCCTAGAGCCGCAGCCGCGGGTGCGGAACCTCAGGACACGACTCTCGCGCGCAGCGAATGCGCGCGCGCGCGCGCGCCGCGGTGCTGCCGGGTAGCAAACACCGTGGCCGAGGCAGGCGTTGTTGGTGCTAGGAACAGGGGCATCGCTACTAGGAACAAGAAGCTACTATAGTATATTAACGTAGCTAAGCGGCTTCAGGGTGGCTCCGCCGCTCCGATGACCGAGTTCGGCCTCGGCGGGTTCGCTCCGAGGCCGCTCCGCCGAAGAAGAAGTTGGTGGAGACCTTGTCTACTTGGCCCCGGCCTCGAAGAAGATTCGACGGGCGCAGGGGTGTAGAGGGGTGTGTTTGTTTTGTTTTGTTTTGTTTTGCTTTGCTTTGCTTTGCTTTGTTTTGTTTGGTTTTGTTTGGTTTTGTTTGTTTGGTTTTGTTTGTTTGGTTTTGTTTGTTTGTTTGTTTGTTTGTTTGTTTGTTTGTTCAGGGCTCGAGCTTTACCGTTGGCGGGATTTGTTCTTGCCCCAAAAGCCAAGGTGGTTCGACTTTCTTTCGCGGCGCCGACCCCATTTAGCGTGACTGCGGTATCTCCTGCGTGGCATCGCAGGCTACGATACAAACGGCAAAAGGCTAAAAACGTCTTGAAAAGTAGGTGCCAAGCTGTCAAGGTGATCAAGCAAGGGTTTTTGCAGCGTGTGCGAGCTCGTGCACTTCTTCACCGACACCATAGTGCACCTAGATATAGTCTGCCAGCTCTGGATAGTCTCTTCGAGGAAAACCGGAGCAAGAGCACTCTAGACATGTCATGGAAAAGAGACCAGAATGCCAGGAAAAATGCATGGAAAGAGCAGTACTGGCAATGGGAGGACTACGAGAAACAGAAAAAGAAAAAGCAGGATCCCGACCAAGAGTAGTTCGTCATCTACGGATGGGACGGGAAGCGCATCGAGCTCGGTCGAAATGGAGCTTCATCCTCTGGGCCTTCATCGCAGTCCTCTGCGGAGCAATTGCTCGGAGAGGAAAACAAGAAGTTGAAGGAAGTTGTCCGCTCTGCACTAGAAGGCAATCGGAGGTGCCCCAGCAGGTGATCGAACTGGTCAAGGCAGATCCGAGAGAAACCAAAAAGGAGAAACAGCGGCAACTCAATCAAGAGAGAAAGCAGCTGAGCAAAGCAGAGAAGATCAAGTCCGAAATGGACAAACTTGGCAGCCATTTTTCCCGATGGAAAGAAGGGATGCAAAGAGCCTTGTTGCCAAGGAAAAGAGACATGCTGCCTGCATGGCAGAGTACATGACAGAACTCAAGGAGGCAGAAGAACGCCCGCAAGACGAAGAAGGGCATCCGGACTCGGATATGGATCCAAAGGACTTCCGGATCGGCGAGCTTGGAATGGAACTCTCTGTGATGAAAGAACAGATGGCACAGATGATCACATATACCCAAGCCATGGAGCAACGCAACCAAAGTCTTGCGGAATGCAAGCATTAGTGGGGGCACTATCGGGCCATACGCTGCTGGAAGAGAGAAGATTCTCTTCGCCTCAGCAGCTATTGAAGACGACGCGTGCAGTGATCAAAGAAGAAGATGCCCGAAAGAAGAGTCTATCCAGATCTCCAGCACGCATTGCCGAGGACAAGGACAGTGCTGTCGTAGGCAGTGGCGAGGCCGTGGAGGAGATGGATTCTGCGGAGCTGAAAGCCGAACTTTTGAAGCTACCAGAGCAAGCCCAGGCTCGGATCTTGAATATCAGAAACGAAGAGCCGGCCAAATACAGCTCAGCAAGGGCAATGCGCCAGTTGATAGCCGATGTAGTTGTCATGATGCCGAAGGAGGCGGAAGCCCCAGATCTTCTGGCACCTTCTATGGCACCGTTCGGCAAAGCAGCAAAGAAGAAGACTCAGCATGGGGAGCCATACCTGACTCATATGCCAATCGAGGGTGGTGGCAGTTTCGTTATGTCCATGACCCCACCGAAGACAGGGACAGGCGATGGCCTTCCGATCTCGGGCGATGGGTATGTCAGAATATGAATGGAATGATACCCATGTGGCGCGCCATTTTTCAAGGCAGCAGACAGGGTATGTTGGCCGAGTATGCGATTGGTTGCCACTTTCAGAGCAGCATTCTCCAATTTGAAGGAGATGTGAATCCTTTTGGCAGTGGGAACCTTTACCAACCGCAGTGGGGTGGCGGTTGGATGCATAGACATCAGGTTGCAATGTTTTGTGAAGAGCTCAGATGGGTCGGGAAGAATGTGTTGGTGACAGATAGAATTGACTTCGCATTGCATGCCCTTCTTGAACGAGGACATGAGCGGCTTTTCCAAAGGGGCTGTACTTTTGTCGCCGAGGGCAATTGGGGTGAGGTATTGGTTAGATGCCAGTAGAGAAACCTTTCAGTTTTGAATCCATAAAGGGACAGCGATTTTGCGAGCTAGCCATTTGCCAGTTACTATTTCGCTGTGTGGGAGAATCTGTTTGATTCTTGGTATGGCGGAAATATGGCTTAATCAAGTTCCCTTGCAGCCGAGTGCCCAGTGGGGAATTCGGTTTATAGTCGGATTAGAAGGGGTTGTGTGGGTAAATCTTTTACTTGCTGCAATCCGTTGCATTCGTGCAGATAAGGTGTCCTGTAAAGGAGAAAATACCCGTCGAATTGGAGAGCCAAGATTCTTCCTCAGAGAGCAGTAAGTTAGACTAGTGTACACTTGGTCAATGTGGACCCACCAAACAACATAAACAACATCAAAAGAAAAAAGCGGCGGATCAATCCTCAACGTTGCGATGTGATACCTAGGTTTTTCCAATCTCATTCATTCACCCACCTGCCACTACGTGGACTTATGTTCAGAAACCTTGTGCCAAGTTGCTGAGGCGCAGATTGTCATGTAGAACCCCCAAAACCTGTTCTTCCACTCGGGCGAACCCCATGACATTCTCCAGCAACCCAGCCTTACCAAGAGAGAGAGAGAGAGAGAGTAAGTGCCAGTTGCAGCAATATGAAGGGAACACCAACAAACAGCATGTAGCTAAGTAGCTGCAGGTTCAGAGTCCTTCAGCCGCCTGATAGTTTGAAACAGCTGTTTACTGTTCCGATCCTTGAGAAGGTCGCTGTTGTGATGTACGAGGGAAAAGGGTGTGCACGGGAATCCCGTACAGTAGATAGCAGCCTGCCACAGCGATGTGTGTCTCATTGTTTCTCATGGAACACGATGCTTCATCACCTGCCTCCTTGGCACAAGCGCTTGTCGGCATATCAAAGATATTTGTGGCCGACCTTCATAGACTGGGCTTATTTGAGCACTGCACCCAAAAGACATGATTGGTTCATCAATGTTCTCTTTCAAGAACTTTTGCACCACCGGATCCTTCTCGGAGTTGCACCTTCAGCAAACTGAAGTGCAAGCCGAAGAGAAGACAGAGCACCATTTTGGGCTAAGATGCAACTGGCGCAATAGATACGATTTGGAGTTGAAAAGCTTCTTGAGGGCCATGAACGGGGTATCCATGCCACTGCCTCAGAAGAATGAGTCAGCGTACAAACCTTAAGGCAGGTTGCAGTCACTGCTATATCCAAATGTCCCTTTACAGCGGCGCACGAATCCCTGTAAGCCTTATTTCTGAGTGAAGAAAGCACTTCAGCAAAAACATCTTAGCAGAAAACAGAAAACATTTCATAGCATAGGCCACCAAGAAACCAAGTTTCTCTATAAACTCTGTTTCACCGTCCAAGTAGGAGAGGATCTTTGGATCGAGATCGATCTGTGGAGGATTCAAGTCTTCCTGCAAAGGATTGGATGGAATGCAGAGAGAAAAAGAAAGCGCCCCCACGGTCCTCTTCATCAGTGGTGTCAGAGACCTCCCTCCAAACACCCATGGAAAACCTACCCCTGGTTTCCTCAGCCGCACCGTGCTTCGGGTCAGTGGCAAAGATCCAGATTCAGATTGGACTTTCACATATATATATATATAGAGAGAGAGAGATAGAGATAGAAGTAAACATACAGAAATCTAAGTATCCAACCGAAAAAGTAAACATATAACACGTGGGAACTGTTTAGCTGTCTTGATGGGTGGACAGTGAAGGGATGGCCCACTGCAGTCGGCAAAAAGCATCATAGGTACTACCAGTCAGCGAAGGGGGTTACCAGGGGGAGGAAGACATCCTGGTAGAAAACATGTTCTTTTTCCAGGCAGAAAAGCACTTTCGAACCGACCGAGGGACCCCAAAGACTCCCAAGGCTCCCGGGTCCTTGCTTTTGGTACTCCCGAAAGTTGTCAGAAAGTCTTGCAACCTCAGGACCACTAGGGCACCGCCGCCTGAAGATTGAGCAGTTGCTTGATGTTTACTTTGTGTTCTTTTCTCCGGCCCAAGCGAATGAGGAACTGCCAGAAGCTCCAGCTGAGGAGCAAGCCACAGAGGCTGTGGGCGTAGAGCTTGGGCAGACCGATGGCAATGCGCCACAGTTTCTTGGGGTAGGATGGCATTCAGTCCAACCCACATATTGTGAAGCACCACCGCTTCGTCCCAGACCATCCATAGACAGTTGTTGGAGGCAAGCGCGCGCGAGTGCTGTATCAAAGAGAAGCTTCGCGGCGGCTTCGCCATATAAATCTATTTTTGGAGGTAATGTGGTAGATCTTCCAATCCAAGTCTACCCTAGGGATATGAGGGCAGGCCGTTGATCTTCGTTATTTGACTGAGGTTGAGCAACCAATTTGTGGTGACCAGGCAATTTCCCTCGCCACGGCTTTCCACAATCTAATTCCACACGAAAAAGAGGCGCCCAAAACAGGCTGGTGTAGGCCAAGGCCTTCTAGGCTGGTGCGGCCAGTGCCTAACGTTTGCGCAGGGTTTCCAGGCGGGCAAACGACACCATCTATTTCTGCCCGCAACAGCGGTCGGAACGGGGGTGTGCCCACTGCCTAACTTTGCTGTCGAAACCCTAAAGAAAAGAGGCGCAGGCCAAGGCCTTCTAGGCTGGTGTGGCCAGTGCCTAATGTCTGCGCAGGGTTTCCGGCCGGGCAAACGACACTATCTATTTCTGACACAACAGCTGTCGGAACGGGGGAGGTGCCCACTGCCTACCGTTGCTTTCGAAACCCTAAGGAAAAGAGGTGCAGGCCAAGGCCTTCTAGGCTGGTGTGGCCAGTGCCTAACGTCTCACAACAGGTCGGAACGGGGCCCACTGCCTATAACGTTGCTTTCGAAGGTCTAAAGGGAAGAGGTGCAGGCTGGTGTGCCCAGTGCCCAACGTCCGCGCAGGGTTTCCGGCCGGGCAAACGACACCATCTATTTCCACACCGCAGCCAGCCAAAATGCCTATCGTCTTGCACGTCGCCTGGCACGTCGCCTTCGGGAGCCCATAAAACAATTGCCTGGCACGTGCCAGAGGCTCACTCCCAAGGCTCCCGGCAATCTGTGTCGCGACAGCTTTCCACCATCCAATTCCACACCAGAAAGGGGCGAGCCACAGCCAACCAAAATGCCTAACGTCGCCTCGCTCGTCGCCTGGCACGTCGCCTTCGGGAGCCCATAAAGCAGTTGCCTGGCACGTCGCTTTCGATGCCCCGTTGCCTGGCCCAGTTGCCTGGCAGCTGAGGTGTGCCTATAAGGCAGAATGCAGCCGATGGCCACACCTGGAAACGGCACCTTCGACACACTCTGGATCTGCTTGGCAAAAACGCTGCTTCGCCACGGCGAAACGCTCTGGATCTGCACACTCTGGATCTGCTTGGCCTGGGCAACTGTTTCCCCCTGTGTCCCCAGCGCCGGAGAACCGTGACAGCATGGCCAGGCTCGTGATCTACATCCCGTGGATCGCTCAGTCGGCGGGTGTGGTGAAGCACCGTGGGGACATGGAACCTGATCCTGATGAGAATTAAGGCATAAGGAGTGCATCTCAGCGCAGCATGCTTTAAGATCTACTTGAGAGTAGGCGAGCGGGCGTGGAGGAAGGATCACAAAATGCATTTTCGCCTACGGTGGCTGTACGGAGAACCTATGGCCTTCCTAAGTAAGATTGACATGTTGAGACACAAAATCCATTCAAAGTGAATCAGCAACACAAGCTGGCCAACTTCAAGGCATGCTATTCAATGGGTGTATGGTCGCTTACGGCAAATGCCTGCGATGAACATTGCATAACAAAATGCCCCCAATAAGAAAGGGGCCAGCAGCTCCTCAAAACACCAACCAATTTCCTTTTCAAAAGCCCGCTTCTCAGGACAATCGCCCGGGCAGCAGCGGCGATTAAGGCGAGTGGAGCGGCGACAAGTCTGAAGTGCAAGTCAAACGAGTACTTTTCGACAAGAAAAGTTTTACGAGTACCTCTTTTTTTGTCGGAGCCCAAGCCATTTTCTATCCAAGCGAGTTCAACATCACCGCGCTAACGGCACATAGAACCTGGATTCATGCAAACAAAACAACTGTTCACAAGCGTCAAACATTGCAAAATTTAAACATCCTGGTCACGATTTCCTTACATATTGCAAACATTAAGGGGACTAAGGACCTGCTACGCTCCAGTTACGCTCCTGTTACGGTCTGGAGGGGGTTGTTATGGAACTGTTACGCTCCTGTTACGCTAAATAGCTGGCCAACAATTCAAACCTCTTTGCTTTTGATGTCGAATAATTAGCCTCAAAACCACCAAGAACACTGGAGTATCACTCAAAAGCGCCTTAGATTACCTTCCAAACCACCTGAAGAGATCATGAACACAATTTTTTGCTTTAACGGAACTTTAGTGGGACCAAGTAAAACTGGGCTCTAATTAAGCAAATAGAAATAAATAGTTGTCATCGTCTCCAATTCTATATGAACAAGTTTAACGAGGTCGTTGACTTGGAGGGGGATGTTTATCTCCCTCTTTCTCGCGCATGTGGTCGCCCTGGTGCCTCACGTGCGCGGTTTTGATCTTCCCATTGACTGCTCGGAGAATGTGCTGCTGCAGCCCTCATCGCTGGAGAGCGAATATGACGGAGCTGCCTGGGTCTATCCCGCGCGAGCGGAGCGGCAAGTCTTCGTGGAAGGCCGCGCTGGGGAGATCTTGACGGATCGCACTCTCGCCTGCATTTCGCGCCCTCGACGCGCACGATCTCCG